GCGCATGCGCCCTTCTGCTCCGCGGCCGCCGCGAGGGGGCGCCGCAGCGCTGGGGAGGAGGCGGGCGCCGACATCTTGGGGCGGGGGGCGTTTGCATGGGGGGCCGTGCGAGCGCCCCGCGGGGTGCTCTGACACTGGGCGGGGGGCGATGGCTGTCAGGAAGTGACTTTTTGCTGTGTCTGCCCTCTGGACGACTGGCCCAGTGCTGGTGGTTTTCCAGAGGGGACACACCGTGACCTCCCCCAGCTTGCTGAGCAACTGCAGCCCTTTCCAGAAGAACAAAAGCAGCTTTAATATTCATCTGAGTGCTGCTTTGGGAGATAAAATCTGATCATTTCAAAGCCTATTTAAATAACATAACTGTTTCCCGTTGTTAGGATCTGCTGCACGAATTTAGCCCTTAATTAAAATTCTAGCACAGATTTTGGCAGCTGGAAATAGAACAGTGCAATTAGGAACGCTCCAAATATAGCACCAGCCTTTTTTTTTTTTCCACACTACCCTAACATCTCCTTGGAGTGGGAACAGCCTCATCTTTTTACTTGTGTCTTGATACTTAGAGAAATGAGTACTCCAGGATATAATTGATTGGGAGCCATTGAACGAATGCAGTTGATGCCAGCTGAAAGTCAACAGCCCGCTGAAGAGAAGGGTTATCACATTCCCTCATACCCCTATCAACAGTTCCTCTGCTGGAAGCAGAATTCAGGTCACCCTACAAAACAATTAAAGAAGCAAATTATCCTTCCCTTGTTCCTACCACTAGAAGAGAAACCAAACCTGAGAAGACATGGATTTTTTAATTTAAAAAGTAGGGTACATTCACATCTTTTTTTTTTTTTTTTTTTTTTTTTTTTTTTTTAGTTTAAGTTTCTAAACAGTTTCTTGACATAGGGTTTTTTTTTCAGGGAGAAGGGGTTAAGTTTCTTGGAGGAAGCTAAAGGGACTAGATTTTTGTCATTGCCTCTTTCATAGGCCCTTCAGCAGAGGGAGTGCACTATACGAAGGGGCAATGCAATGTAAAATTAAGCTTAGTGATTAAGAACATTCAGCACTTAAAATGTCAGATATAAACCCTGTCTGTACAAAGCTTATGTAGTGATATATTAGTTTATAACAAATGTTACACAGATTTATCCTTTTCCAGGAAACTCTCCATTTCTTTATATTGTATCTACGTGCAACAGAGTTTCAATGATTAAATGCTAGAAGTTTCTTGAATCAACATGGTTAAAAAAGTTAGTAAACCCCATAGAAGTAATGGAAGAAGATCAGTGCTCATCTCCAATCTTGACATCATCATGGCAGGTTGGAGGGAAAAGAGTGTTAACAAACCTCATTGCTATTCTTACGTCTATAACCACACGAGCTAGGAAGTTAGTTTTAGCTAAGTCATGGGCAGTTAGTTTTACTTCTCATGGATTTCATTCTAAGACCTGGTCTAATCACAACAATTTCAAAGATATTAGATGTAAGAAAACATTATTGTCTCTATCAAATCTATATCAACAGAAAAAAAAAAAAAAAGTAGTAATACTAACTCAGATTCTTGAGATTTGTTTTCCTCATACAGAGATACACAGTGACTAGAGCAAACGTGCCTTCCTGACAGCGTCGCCATTTTCTAACTGCATCTTTTATTTTCCTGTTTTATTATGATTCCCAGGAAATCCACATAGAATCCAATCACTTATTTTTAACCTATGCCGTAAAGGATCTGTTGTTAAACAAGCCTCCGCTCTCCCTAGGGTAAATCAGTATCTGAAGGTGGCCTGGAAACTCTACGAAGATACCGGCTTTGCCATCTGGTGGACATCCATGCGAACAGCAAGTAGCCTTCGACTAGGAGAGACAGGTGGTTTTGTTTCCCCAAGTGCGACATCACCACAAATAGGGAGCACTGGTGCAAAAACATTAGGCGAGGCATCTGATGTCAACGTAGTAATTAAAATGGGAATGTAAGCTATGGGAAAGGTGAGAACAAAAGTCATAAAATGCTGTTATCTGCAACATATGGGCATCATTAAAAAAAGGCTGAAAGGTAATTAAAGAAGCTATAATGACAATAAATTGCATTTATCTTGTAATAAAAATGTAGACATCAGTTTCTCCTGTATCATTCTTTTATTCTGATTCCCAGCCTCTTCTCTGTTCTTCCCAGTTCATCTGTCCCTCCCAGAATCTCCCCTACCCAAACCTGCCCCTTTTATCCATTGCCCCATCTGTTCTTTCCTAAATGCTCCCACTCATTCTGCATCTCTCCATCCTCTTTTTTGCTTTGACACTGTTTCATCTCCCATGTTTTTCTATTTAACTTTGCTTCCTACAGATTTGTTGTAAGCCCCATATTCCCTGATATTTCACCTGGAGCTTTCTGCTCTCATTTTTTATAACCTCATCTCCTTGCTCCCAGCTACTGGCTGGCTAAGAGGCAATGCATGTTTCTGAGCTATTCATGCTGCTTCCCCAGTACCAGACCAAATACCAAAGATGACTCTTACCTTTGCTGAAACCTTTGCCTATTGAGGTCACTAATACAGTTTATTTTCTGTAACCAGTTGGCTATTTTTATGAAATCTCTAAGACCTTAACATCTCTGAAGAAATTAAGTAAAAAAATGATTAAAATTGGCCAGCAGGTTGGAGATATGTAGAGACAAAAAAAAAAAAAGGTCCACATAGTGTAGTGCTGGAAAATTATCAAGCAGGCATTGCTCCCTAGTCTGGCTCCAGAATCTGGAAGTGTAGATACCACCTATGCATTTCTTCATAAAAACACAAATTAAAGTCTCATGGTGGGGAGGAGAGTAATGCACATGATGCTGTCGTCACTGAAGAACACTTAGAGCAAAATTCCTGCCAGATTAATTTTGTGCTTGTTCACAAAACCAGAATCAACAATTCAAAGGCTGAGGAGAGTCTGATGCTATGGGGGGAAGTAAGGGAACATAAAGCTCAGTGAGATAGCATCTAACTCCAAGTAGGTGTTTATTTAGCGCTCAGCATTGAGGTCTAACTCTAAAACTGAAACCTGTCAGATCTCAAAAATGTAAACAGCAGTAATAAATGTGGTGAGAGGACTACACCTGAACCTCCTTAATAGTGCCCTTTTAGGAAAGTCAAGCCTCCCAGTTCATTTAGGTAAGATAGGTCATAGAATCCTTTAGTTAGGAAGTGAACTTCAATCTGTTTGTAGTTGATCTCTTTCCCAGGGAAAGCTCACAAGTGAATTGGGTGGTTACATTTTATGCCATTTTTTCTGTCAGTAATGAGTATCTGTCATGATACTGGGGGAGTTCCCAGTGTCATTTAAACTGCCTTTGTTTATTGTGGCTTACAAAGACAGTGAGGTTACAGGAATGTGGTTTAAAAAGCACTTTTTAGCTGAATTAAAGCTGGTGCATAAAAGCGGAGTAACAAATCAGGGCTGTGATTTGTCTAGTTCAGAGCTATCCATCTGGCCCTGCAGACTGAAGAAGGATCTCAGAGCGAACTAGCAAAAGAGGTTTAGGGTTAAGTTTTGTAAGTGTTACAGGCACACAGGAAAATTGTGGGTTGGCTGTGCATCACTTACATCACCAGCTTGGATCTCAAGTAAGATCAACCCTTTTCACCCTCTCCCCGTAGGACAAAGGTACAGTTCTGTTGCAGGGGAAAAAGGATCTTCTGCAAAATGCGGTGTCCAATTCCATCATCATTTCTTACACAGTCTCCCAGAGCTGACCGAAGTTAATAGCAGTCAAGGGTGACAGTGGAGAAGGACAAAGCGATGCACTGCTCTGTGGATCCAGCCCATACCCGAGTGGAAGAGCAGAGTAAGGAAAGGGCCATTGCAGGCTTCAAGCTACAGAAAAGCCCTTGGAGTCCCAGTGTGCCGAGCACAGCTCCTTAGGATGTATGTGGTGTGGCCTTACACAGGTGCTGGACGCAGCACGAAACACAGAGTGCAATGCTAATCTTTTGTTCATGCTACCAGCTCAAGCTTGGTGATGTACAACAGAGCTGAAACAATAACATGGAAATCCCAGATGGCATTCAGACTGGCTGTAACAAACAATAATTTCCACTTCAATAGCATGCAAGGCACTCACAGTTCACTGCGAACTTTAATTAATCCTCACAGTCCAGTTGGGATGCAGAAGGATTACAACCCTCATCAGGAAGGATAGATAACTCCAGCATGAAACATGGCAACTCTGTAAAAGCACACGTTACCCAGGAATTTCAGCCAGGATGAGAACTGCACTGAAACTACAAGGGAATTCAACTGGATAGGCTGAAGAGAGAGAAAATTAAATACAAACTGAAGCTCCAAATCAGCATTGCATCCCTCTCAACACCAGGCCATGAAACAGAGACATTAAACAGCAGGCAACTTACCACCATTGCAACCACCGCATAATTTCATACTCCAGCGTTACAGCTACTGATTGAGCTAGATGAGTATTGGCAAAGGTGGTGTTCGAGCAATTGCGGGGGATTCTAGCAGAAAAACCAAGAGTGCTGCTGAGCAGCTAATAAGTGGCTGTTCCTCAGTCACACTGCACTCAAAATAGCTTTCCAACAGAGGAAAAGCAAATTCTATTGGCTTCAACACCTGGTTGAGCAACTTAATAAGGACAAAATTGAAAGTTAGAGCTGAATCATTATTTATTTTATAACTTCATCACACAGTCCACTCCAAAATGTGAGTTATTGCATTTCAAATCCAGCTTGAGCCAGGTTTTTCTGTAGGCTCATTCAGCACAGAGGTGAAGAGAAGGTTCTTTGAAAACAATTTTAGACAGCAGTTGCTTCAGAGGAGGAGAGCAATCTGCAATCACAGGAAGACTTTTTCCCTTTTCTCCACTTCCGCCATGCTTTTCGCAAATTGTGTTTCTTAAGTGTATTTTTAATGCACCAGGAAAATGGTAGCAGTGCAAAAACTGTAGTGTTCTTTGGGTAA